CTCTCTATTTCAATGTGTTTGTCCAGCTTCTTTTTAGTCTACTTCAAAAACAACGTCTCTTTTCTTTTTTGACAACTTTTTAATCTCAATTTTACACATGACATGTTTAAAATCATAAGATTAAAGAACGTTTTGATACATCGTACATATCTTTAACTTAAGATCACAAAATTCAAATATCCTCTTTACTTCCTTTAACTCAATATCAAACAAATAAATTGAACAGAAAGGAGTAATATCTTTGGGCAATCTTAGTTCATGAACTACTCTTTGAAGTTAAGTCAGATTAAAAAATTATTTTTCTTATATAATACTAGCGCAGCCTCATTCTTATTATTGGTGTTCTTTTGTGCAACTATCTCATATTCAAAACTTATCAATTCGATTGATTTAAATTTTACATCGTGTAAAACTCTTTAAGAAAAACACTTTCCTATTAAAGATTTTTTTTAGACCCCTCTATTTAATGATTTTATCAATTACTTATATTCAATATATAAAATTAAAATACCATATTCTATTATCCACACTATAGATATCATATCAGCCATAATAGTGCAAACGTCATTTTATATAAAATATATTAATTACTGGATCTAAAAATTAGTTTGAATGGAGCCTACTGGATGCAAAATAGTTTCTTGTATCTCTGGATGTATTATATAAAATATAATACATTACATGTGAGAGACTGGAGAAAGAGTGAAGTAGTTGTACTATGATAAGAAATTAAAGAATCATGATGTTTTTTAGTGGTGCCCCCTCATTGAATTATAATGCTAATAGTTGAAAGTTGATGAAGCTAATAATATCTCCAACTAGCTCTGAGGTGGTGCGGAGTTAGAAGTTTGGGTACGAATTTAATTGAATCCAGTAACTTTTATTCAAATAATGTATTTATATAGAAGTTTATCAAATATATACAAATATTAAGTACTTTAGAATGAAATTTTTTAACATTTAAATCATTATTATAAAATTCATAATTCATAAAATTTAAATTCTGACTTCGCCTCAACGATAAGGTATATCAACTTTGTGTTGCTGAGAGTGGAAAGTTGTAGCTGACACCCTGACTAAAAAAAAAGAGAGGAAAGATTTCTTTTTCAATAGTACTATTTTTCTCATCCCTCTGCTTCTGAAATTTCATGATTGAGAATTTCCATTTTTCTAATAATTCTTGGGGTCCGATTAATTTGAGATCGGATTAATTTCATCAAATTTTTAGAAGTTATTTTTATTAAATAGAGACGAGTTTAAAATTTAAATGATCAATAAGATGAAAGTGGATCAACTTCGTTATAAGGAAATTTTCAAAAATATACAAATTTATACCATACTTTATACACAAGTCGTGTTGTTTTCCTTCATATTTTCTTCCAGATATGAGAACAACAGTTCGTTTTTGTTTCGTTTGGAAAATTCAGGTTTGGATCGAATCGGGTCGGCCAATTATTTGATTTTTCAATGCTAGTTGTGAGAATATTTTCTAAAGTTGGCAAATGATTCTTGTCAATTCATGCTCTCCACTTCTCTTTGCTATAAGGAATATATCACCAATATAGACCTCAATCCTCATATATGAATTGAGAAAATAAAAAGAAATTAGATTTCAAATAATTTGATTATGTAATATATTTTACATCATCAACTGTTAAATTATACGTTAGTTATTAATTTTCTTTTTCGAAGGGCAAACGCTCGTGATATGTAGTCATTCTTATAAGTAGCCAAACAAAGTACTCCCTCCGTCCCATTTTATGTGAGGTAGTTTGATTCAGCACGAAGTTTAAGAAATAAAAGAAGACTTTTAAAATTTGTGGTCCAAAATGAATAATAGAAATTTGTGTGGCTGTAAATTATTTCTTAAATCATTTGTAAAATAGATATTTTATAATTAAATTGTTACTTAATATAGAAATATATTATTTTTTAAAGGCAGAATGGTCCGGGAGACCCTCGTACTTGTCTCATTTTGTCACCTGAGCCCTTATAATATAGACTTTGCCAACTAAACCCTCGAACCCACTGAAATCCAACATTTTAAACCCTTTTTTTGACCACTCAGTGGTGCGTGAACTACAAACGCCACACGTAGCTTTCCACGTCATGTAAAAATGCCACATAGGATATGACATGTTAAAAATAGGCTAATCCTTTTCTTTCAAACATTTCTTTCCTTTCTCCTTTTCAACTAGACCCTTCTACTCCCTTAATCCCGATTTACATTGTTGCTCATTGCGATTTTTTTCGATTTTGTTAAGTGTTTGAGTTCGCGTTTCACTCCATAGTTGTAAGTTTCTTGACTAATTTTCATTCTCTTTGTTTTGCAGTTGTGTTTTTGGTTTTTGGTTTTTCATTTTTCATTTTGTTGTTTTGAGTTCTTGTTAGGGCTTAGTTGTTGCAGAGGTCGTGGTGTGATTTTAGGGAGGATTTTGATTTTTTACATGCCTAATAACAATTTGTAGAAG